CATAAAAAAAAAACCTATTTTTGTTCCCATTCAGCACCACAAAACAGCGAATTTGGGGCATTTTCCCATTGATTTCACCACAAACAAATCCCCATTTTTTTTTCCCATCCAGGACGACAAAACAGCGAATTTGGGGAGTTTTCCCATTGATTTCACCATTAACAGTCAGGAAAAAAAAAGCAAAATTTGGGGAATTTTCCCACTGGTTTGGCCACAAAAAAAAAAAATCATTTTCCTGTTTTTCTTTTTACAGCCAGGATGGCAAAACTGAGAATTTGGGGAGTTTTTCCCACTTGTTTCACCATAAAAAAAAAATTTTTTTCCCATTTGGGACCACAAAACAGCGAATTTGGGGCATTTTCCCATTGATTTCACCATAAAAAAAAATCCCTTTTTTTTTCTCATCTGGGACCGTGAAACAGCGAATTTGGGGCGTTTTCCTATTGATTTCACCACAAACAAATCCCCATTTTTTTTTCCCAGTCATGGAAAAAAAAGGCAAAATTGAGAATTTGGGGAATTTTCCCACTGGTTTCACCACAAAAAAAATCCCCATTTTTTTTCTCCCATTCAGCACCACAAAACAGCGAATTTGGGGCATTTTCCCATTGATTTCACCACAAACAAAATCCTATTTTTTTTTCCCATTCAATACAGCAAAACAGCAATTTTCGGGCTTTTTTCCCATTGATTTCACCACAAAAAAAAAATCCCCTTTTTTTTTTTTCCCATCCAGGACAACAAAACAGCGAATTTGGGGGGTTTTCCCATTTATTTCACCACAAACAAATCCCAATTTTTTTTCCCATTCAGAACCACAAAACAGCAAATTTGGGGCATTTTCCCATTGATTTCACCATAAAAAATATCCCATTTTTTTTTCTCATCCGGGACCGTGAAACAGCGAATTTGGGGCATTTTCCCACTGGTTTCACCACAAAAAAATCCCCAATTTTTTTTCCCATTCAGAACCACAAAACACCGAATTTGGGGAGTTTTCCCACCGGTTTGGCTGTAAAAAAATCCTTTTATTTTTTTTTTCCCCTATCCAGGATGCCAAAATAGTGAATTTGGGGAATTTTTCCCATCGATTTCACCACAAAAAAATCCGATTTCTTATTTTTCCCAGCCAGAAAAAAAAGGGGCAAAATCCAGAATTAGGTGAGTTTTCCCCATTGGTTTCACCATAAAAAAACCTATTTTTTTTCCCATTCAGAACCACAAAACAGCGAATTTGGGGCGTTTTCCCATTGATTTCACCACAAAGAATTCCCCATTTTTTTTTTCCCATCCAGGACAGTGAAACATCGAATTTGGGGCATTTTCCCATTGGTTTCACCACAAACAAATCCCCATTTTTTTTTCCCAGTCAAGACACCAAAACAGCGAATTTGGGGCGTTTTCCCTGTTTTTGGGGGCGGTTTTGGGGCCGCACCTGACGTTCTCGTGGCGGTACATGTACATGGTGTTGAACTGCTGCAGCTCCTTCTGGCTCGGGTCCTTCTTCATGTCCTTGAGCATCTCATCGGCCACGTGCTTGGGCAGGATGGAGAGCATCAGCCGCTCCTGGAAAAAACGGGGAAAAATGGGAAAAAATGGGGAAAAATGGGGAAAAATGGGGAAAAATGGGAATAAATGGGAATAAATGGGAAAAACAGGGGAAATGGGGAAAAATGGGAAAAAATGGGAAAAAATGGGAAAAATGGGAAAAATGGGAAAAAACAGGAAAGAAACAGGAAAAAAGGGGAAAAAATGCAAAAATGGGATAAAACAGGAAAAACCAGAAAAAACAGGAAAAAAAAAGGGAAAAAATGGAAAAATGGGAAAAACAGGAAAAAACGAGAAAAAATGGGGGAAAATGGGGAAAAATGGGGAAAAATGGGGAAAAATGGGGAAAAATGGGAAAAAATGGGAAAAAATGGGAAAAATGGGAAAAATGGGAAAAAACAGGAAAGAAACAGGAAAAAAGGGGAAAAAATGCAAAAATGGGATAAAACAGGAAAAACCAGAAAAAACAGGAAAAAAAAAGGGAAAAAATGGAAAAATGGGAAAAACAGGAAAAAACGAGAAAAAATGGGGGAAAATGGGGAAAAATGGGGAAAAACGGGGGAAAATGGGGGAAAATGGGAATAAACAGGAAAAAACAGGAAAAACGGGAAAAAACAGGAAAAAAACAGGAAAAAACACCCAACGGGGCACGGAGCGAGCGCGGAGAGCATCCCAGAATATCCCAGGATGGATTTGGGATTGGGGCTGCAATGGGATGGGATGGAAGCTCCGGGAATCCCATCCCAACCATGGCGGGATTGTGGGATGGAGGACGCTCCGAATCCATGGCCAATTTTTGGGGCGTTATTCCCATTTTTGGGGGGATTGTTGCGGCTTTTTAAGGGGATTATTCCCATTTTTTGGGGAGTTATTCCCATTTTTGGGGAGTTATTCCCATTTTGGCCTGGATTTGAGCCGCACCTCCAGCGAGTGCCGCGCCTCCCATCATTCCCATCCCCATCCCACAATCCCACAATCCCATAATCCCATAATCCCATAATCCCACAATCCTACAATCCCCAGTACCTGCTGCTGGCTCTGCTCCTCCAGGTTCAGCCTCACCTCCAGCGAGTGCCACGCCTCCCATCATTTCCATCCCCATTCCCACAATCCCATAATCCCATAATCCCATAATCCCATAATCCCATAATCCCACAATCCCATAATCCCCAGTACCTGCTGCTGGCTCTGCTCCTCCAGGTTGAGCCGCACCTCCAGCGAGTGCCGCGCCTGCCATCATTCCCATTCCCTAAATCCCATAATCCCATAATCCCAATCCCATAATCCCATAATCCCACAATCCCCAGTACCTGCTGCTGGCTCTGCTCCTCCAGGTTCAGCCGCAGCTCCAGCGAGTGCCACGCCTGCCATCATTCCCATCCCAATTCCCCAAATCCCATAATCCCATAATCCCAATCCCACAATACCATAATCCTAATACCACAATACCATAATCCCAATCCCACAATCCCCAGTACCTGCTGCTGGCTCTGCTCCTCCAGGTTCAGCCGCACCTCCAGCAAGTGCCGCGCCTGCCATCATTCCCATCCCATTCCCAATTCCCCAAATCCCATAATTCCACAATCCCAATTCCATAATCCCATAATCCCATAATCCCATAATCCCAAAATCCCAATCCCATAATCCCCAGTACCTGCTGCTGGCTCTGCTCCTCCAGGTTCAGCCGCACCTCCAGCGAGTGCCGCGCCTCCAGGAAGGCTCTGCGGTGTTTGCGCTCGGCCATGCAGTACGAGACCGCGCCCGCCGCCATGGCGCACGCCTGCACCGCCACGTTGGACGCCAGCTTTGGGGAGAAAAAACAGAAATTTGGGATATTCGGGAATTCTGGGACTGGGAATGCCATGGCGCACGCCTGCACCGCCACGTTCGACGCCAGCTTTGGGGAGAAAAAACAGAAATTTGGGATATTTGGGAATTCCGGGATTGGGAATGCCATGGCGCACGCCTGCACCGCCACGTTGGACAGCAGCTTTGGGGAGAAAACACCAAAATTTGGGATATTTGGGAATTCTGGGATTGGGAATGCCATGGCGCACGCCCGCACCGCCATGCTGGACGCCAGCTACACCAAAATTTGGGATATTCGGGAATTCCCACATCGGGAATGCCATGGCGCACGCCTGCACTGCCACGTTGGATGCCAGCTTTGGGGAGAAAACACTGAAATTTGGGATATTCGGGAATTCCCATATCGGGAATTCCAATTCCCCACTTTGGGGAAAATGTCAGGAATTCCAATATTGGGAATTCCAATTCCCCGCTTTGAGGAAAATACTGGGAATTCCAGTATCATGAATTCCAATTCCCCACATTAGGAAAATATTGGGAATTCCATTCCCTACTTTGGGGAAAACTTTGGGAATTTCAATACTGGGAATTCCAGTTCCCCACTTGGGGGAAAATATTGTGAATTCCAGTATCGGGAATTCCAATATTGGGAATTCCAGTTCCCCACTTTGGGGGAAACATCAGGATTTCCAATATTGGGAATTGCAATTTTTCACCTTGGGGGAAAACTTTGGGAATTCCAATATTGGGAATTTCAGTTCCCTGCTTTGGGGAAAAAATTAAGAATTTCAATATTGGGAAAATAATAGGAATTCCAATATCAGGAATTCCAATTCCCCCCTTTGGGGAAAACATCAGCAATTCCAATTCCCCACTTGGAGAAATATCAGGAATTCCAATATTGGGAATTCCAATTTCCCACTTGGGGGAAAATATCAAAAATTGGGAATTCCAGTCCCCCACTTGGGGGAAAGTATCAGGAATTACAATTTGCCATTTTGGGGAAATATTTGGAATTCCAATATTGGGAATTTGAGTTCCCTGCTTTGAGGGAAAATATCAGGAATTCCAATATCCAGAATTCCAGTTCCCTGCTTTGGGGGAAATATCAACAATTCCAATATTGGGAATTCCAGTTCCTTGCTTTGGGAAAATATCAAGAATTCCAATACTGGGAAAATAATAGGAATTCCAATATCAGGAATTCCAATTCCTCTTTTTTGGGGTTAATTTTGGGATGTAAAAGCGGCTCCACAGGGCGGGAACAGCGCCCGGAGCGAATCCCGGGGGATTCCGTCGTTAGGAGCCGGGAGATGTTTTGGAAAAAGGCAGAGCGGGGGAGGATCCCGGGGGAACGAGAACGGCTCCGAAGGGATCCCGGGGGAAAACGGGAATGGTTCCGAGGGGATCCCGGGGGAAAACGGGAATGGTTCCAAGGGGATCCCACGGGAATGGCTCCGAGGGGATCCCGTGGGAATGGCTCCGAGGGGATCCCGTGGGAATGGCTCCGAGGGGATCCCGTGGGAATGGCTCCGAGGGGATCCTACGGGAACGGCTCCGAGGGGATCCCGTGGTGCCGTTCCCTGGGAATTGCGGCCCTGGGAGTGGGGAAGATCCGGATAACCACAGCCGAGCTCCGGGTCCGGGGGGAGGGGTTGGAGTCCGACCACTCCAAATGCCCCAGAATGGCCGGAGATCCGGGATTGGGCCGGTCCCATCCCATATCCTGGATCCTGATCCCATATCCTGATCCCATCCCATATCCTGCATCCCATCCCATATCCTGGATCCTGATCCCAAGGGCTGTGCCCAGAGGACATGGATTAGGAACACAGGGATGGGATATGGATTCGGGATATGGATTTGGGATATGAATTCAGGACAGGGATTTGGGATATGGATTTAGGGAGCGGGAGGAAGGGACGGATCCCAGAAATCCCCGAATCCCGCCCCAGACCCCCTCAGGGATTCCCGGAAATCCCGGATCCGGATCCGCCCGGAGCTGGGAACGGAGGCTGCAGGTATCCTGGTCACCATGGCAACGGGACACGCTGCCAGCCAGGAACGGCCCCGGGAGGGTGGGAAACCCGGGAATCCTGAGAAATCCGGGAATGATGGAAAACCCCGGAATTCTGAAAAACCCAGGAGCGATAAAAACCCGTGAATTCCGAAAAACCCAGGAGTGATAAAAATCCTGAGAATCCTGAAAAAATACCGGGAATGATGAAAAACCAGGGAGTGAGGAAAATACCGGGAAAGATGAAAAACCCGGGAATCCTGAAAACCCCGGGAGCGATAAAAAACCCGGAATGATAAAAATCCCAGAAATCTGAAAACCCCTGAAAAGCTGAAAACTGGATAACTCACAGATAACCCACGGATAAACCACAGATAACCCACGGATCATTAATGGATAACTCACAGATAACCCACAGATAACCTATGGATAACCCATGGATAACCTATGGATAACCTATGGATAACCCACGGATAACCCACGGATCATTAATGGATAACTCTCAGATAACCCACGGATAACTCATGGATAACCCACAGATAACCCACAAATAACTCACGGATAACCCACGGATCATTAATGGATAACCCACAGATAACCCACGGATAAACCACGGATAACCCATGGATCATTAATGGATAACTCTCAGATAACCCATGGAAAACCCATGGAAAACCCATGGATAACCCATGGAAAACCCATGGAAAACCCATGGAAAACCCATGGAAAACCCATGGAAAACCCATGGAAAACCCACGGATGACTCACAGATAAAACACGGATAACCAACGGATCATTAATGGATAACCCAGGGATAACCCATGGATTACCCAGGGATAACCCACCGATCAATCACGGATAACCAAGGGATAATTCATGGATAACCCACAGATCATTAATGGATAACCCACAGATAATCCATTGATAACCCAGAGATAACCCATGGATCATTCACGGATAACCCATGGATAACTCATAGATAACCCACAGATAACCCACTGATAACCCACAAATAACTCACAGATAAACCACGGATAACCCACGGATAACCCAGGGATAACCCATGGATAACTCACGGATAACCCACAGATAACCCACTGATAACCGACGGATAACCCACTGATAACCCACGGATAACCCACGGATGACTCACAGATAAAACACGGATAACCAACGGATCATTAACGGATAAGCCAGGGATAACCCATGGATTACCCGGGGATAACCTATGGATCATTCACAGATAACCCATGGATAACTCATTGATAACCCACGGATAACTCATTGATAACCCATACATAACCCACGGATAACCCATGGATAACTCACAGATACCCACGGATAACCAACGGATCATTACTGGATAACCCAAGGATAACGCATGAATAACCCACGGATAACCTATGGATCATTAATGGATAACCCAAGGATAACGCATGAATAACCCACGGATAACCTATGGATCATTCATGGATAACCCATGCATAACCCATGGATAACTCATAGATCATTCATGGGTAACTCCTGGATCACCCATAGATAACTCACAGATTCATGGATAACCCATGGATCACCCATTGATAAGTCATTGGTAATCCATTGATAACCCATGGATCACTCATGGATCGCTCATAGATAACCCATGGACAATTGAGGAATAACCAAGGGATAAACCATTGATAACTTATTGATAACCATTGACAACCCATGAATCACTCATGGACAACTTCTGGAGAATTCATGGGTCACTCATGGATCGCTCATAGATAACCCATGGATAACCCATGGATAATTGAGGAATAACTGAGGGATAACCCATTGATAACTTATTGGTAACCCATTGATAACCCATGGACAACTCATGGTTCACTCATGGAAAACTCATGGACAACTCATGGAAAACTCATGGAAAACCCAACTGTGGACGCTCCCCATCACCTCCCACCATTCCTGCACCATTCCCATCCCCATTCCCACCATTCTCACCCCATTCCCACCACATTCCCACCTCATTCCCACCCCATTCCCACCACATTCCCACCTCATTCCCACCCCATTCCCACCATTCTCCTGACCCATTCCCATTCCCATTCCCACCATTTCCACCTCATTCCCTCCATTCCCATCCCATTCCCTCCACTCCCACCCCATTCCCTCCATTGCCATTCCCACCCCATTCCCATCCCATTCCCTCCATTCCCATTCCCATCCCATTCCCATTCCCACCACATCCCATTCCCTCCATTCTCCCCCCATTCCCATTCCCACCACATCCCATTCCCTCCATTCTCCCCCCATTCCCATTCCCACCACATCCCATTCCCTCCATTCTCCCCCCATTCTCATCCCATTTCCATCCCATTCCATTCCCACCTAATTCCTGCCCCATTCCCATTCCCATTCCCATTCCCCTTCCCATCCTCCCTCCATTCGTACCAAATTCCCACCTCATTCCCTCCACTCCCACCCCACTCGCACCCCATTCCCACCATTCCCACCCCATTCCCTCCATTCCCCCCCCATTCTCCTTCCATTCCCATTCCCACCTCATTCCTACCCCATCCCTTCCACTCCCACACCACTCCCACTCCATTCCCAACATTCCCACCCCATCCCTTCCACTCCCACCCCATTCCCTCCACTCCCACCCCAGCAGCCCCCGGTCCAGCGGTTCCCCGTGCCGCTGCAGCGCGGCGATGCCGAGCACCAGCGTGTGCACCCCGCAGGACGCGCCCGTCAGCAGCACGATCCTCGCCAGCCGCAGCGGCAGCGTCAGGAAACACGAGAAAGCGAAGAACGCCTGCCAGCCCAGCGAGTCCACGGCCTCGGGCAAATCGCGGAATTCCAGCGCCACGTAACCCCAAACCTGCGCGGCGATCAGAGCCCAGAGCGCTCCGGGCAGGAAATCCCGGGAAAGGCGCTCCGGGAGCAGCCGCGCTCGGAGCAGCACGAAGAGAGCTCCGTGCGCCAGCAGCGCGGCCAGAGCTCCGAGCGCCAGCGGCAGCTTCTCCAGCGGTCTGTCGGGCCGGGAGAAGCCCGGAGCGCACATCCCCAGCACGTAGCAGTCGAACAGGGCGGCGAACACCACCAGCACCAGCAGCGTTTCGTGGCGCTGGCGGCGGAAATAGGTCTGGTAGAGCTTTTCCAGCGATTCCGGGGAGAAGGACAAGCGGCGGGAGCGCGGAAAGCACGGGCAGGGCCCCCCGCGCCGAGCCGGGGACTCCCGGGAGCGCTCGGCGTCCGACGGGAAACTCAGCGAGTACTCGGCGGAGTATTCGGCCGAGAATTCGGGCTCGGAGAAGGCGCGGCTCCGGGCCATGTCCGCTGTTCCGCCGTTCCGCCGTTCCGCCGGGGATGTCGGGGCGATGCTCAGCTCAGCYCAGCGCCGTTCGCCGCATCGCCGCGCCCGCCGGGCCCGCCCGCTCTCCCGGCCGCCTCAATCCCGGCGCAGCGGCGGCGTCGGGACCGGCGCAGGTTCCGCTCCGCTTCCCGGTTCTTCCCCGGTTCTTTCCCGGTTSTTTCCCGGCCGCTTCCCKGTTGTTTCCCGGYYGYTTCCCGGCKCCGTTTCCAGCCGCTTTCCCGGCTCTCCCCGCAGATGTCGCGATGCCTCCCCGCTCCTCCTTCCCGAGCTTTTCCCGGCGCTCCTTCCCGAGATGCCTCCGGGGATCCGGGAATCCCGGGCTGCGGTCCCGGTGCCCGCCGTTATCCCGGCTCCCCGCATCCTCGTCCCGCCGGGAATTCCCGGGGCCGGGGCGGGAGCGGGGCCATGGAAAGGCTCGGGAAGGGCGGAGGGAAGCGGGAAGGGCTTTTCCCGGGGTCGGGACAGGGCCGGGCCCGCCTCCCGTAACCCTGGAGCTGCCGGGCGGGGGAAAAACCGGGAAACGGCGGCGGCTCCGGGAGGGAATCGGGGCGGGGACGCGGAGCTGCTGCTGCTGCTGCTGATGATGATTCCGCTCCGTCCTCATCCTCATCATCCTCATCTTCATCTTCATCCTCTTCCTCATCCYCCGGGAATGCGGGGCTTGGAGCGGCCGCGGGTTCCCGCTGGATCCCGGAGTTCCGGGAGCTCATCCCGGATAAATCCCGGCACTTCCCGCGATCTCAGCGGGATCCAAATCCATCCCGGGACATTCCCGCCATCCCAAATCCATCCCGGGATATTCCCGCGATCCCAAATCCATCCCGGCACATTCCCCAGGAATTCCTTCCCCAGATCCCAATAAATCCCCCCTTTCCCAGGGAATTCCCTCCATTCCCGGCTCTCCCAGCCCCAGATTGGATCCATCCCCACCCCGACTCCTCCCTGCCAAGGAATTTCGGGATCCAGGCCCAAATGGGAATAACCTCCCCAAAAATGGGAACAATTCCCTAAAAAACAGCAAGAATTCCTCCAAAAAATGGGAATAACCCCCAAAAATGGGAATAACCCCCCAAAATAGGAATAATTTCCCGAAAAATGGGAATAATCCCCTAAAAAAACCAGCAAGAATCCCCCCAAAAAAGGGGAATAACCCCCAAAAAATGGGAATAATTTCCAAAAAATGGGAATAATCCCCCACAAAATGGGAATAATTTCCCGAAAAATGGGAATAATCCCTAAAAAACCAGCAAGAATCCCCCCAAAATGGGAATAACCCCCAAAAATGGGAATAACCCCCCAAAATCCGAGAATAACTCCTAAAAAATGAGGAATAATCCCCGCCCCAAAAAATGGGAATAATCCCCCCAAAATCGGGAATAACCCCCTAAAAATTTGCCATGGATTCGGAGCGT